GTGTGCAAGTCGATGAGTGTTCTACATTTGATTGAGAGACATTTTTTGTAACACAAGGCCGTCAGTGGCATGTGGTTGAGCAAAACAGAGGTGGCGCTACACCATTTTTCCATGATCATAGGTGGATGACCACAGATGTACATAGGGATTCCTTCCCATCGATGAGGGTTCGCTTCGCGCCAAGCACAAATAGACCTCACAAAGGTCACTAAGAACTGGGGACGCCCACCTTTGTTTGAAAGGAGGTCCCCAAAATAAGGGATGTCCCTAGGCAAAATTTGTCTTGCACTTGCCACTAGAATAGTCAGAGAGGTGCCTTGAGGTAAAAGTTGGATGCGTGGTCAGAATATTAAATGCAAATACCCATAATGCATATTGTTTTGCCATGGAAGAAAAGTTAAAGACTGTGACAGAACGACGCAGCCCTATACTGTCGACAAAAATTTAGGTTTTTCCGAACAATGGCATGCTGACTGAGCTTCAACGCAAAATTGCTGTCTGCATATCACACCAATATTGCGCATTAGTGCATGAATACATGTACGCTAGACCAAAATTGCTACCATACCAGCCGAGGAGACAAGATCCTTGACTTCTGAGTAGCCGCAGGCCATGCGTCGAGAGGCTCGTGACTCCCGCCTCGTGGGGTTTGAGTTGGGCGGCATGACTGGTGTGTGATGAGCGGGCGTGAGACTGTGACCGGGAGTGGATGTTGTGGTACGCCAGCACACCGGAGCACATCGCAACCCGCCTACGCTGTTGCACGGGCTAAATAGCGATTCGCGTCATGACCCGGGTGGTACCTGGCAGCCAGCTGCGGCTGCCACGGCATCCAAAGCCTGTGGTCAAATGTATGAGTCTCATACGTTAGTGAACACCTGAGGTCTCCTGATGTGATCTATGAAGTCAGCATGAACTGCTAGAATGTGTTGCCGGGTTACAGCCATTTTGTTGTCTGAAACCTGGCTGCTGTCTGGTTATGAGGGTTTTATTATGCACTCAGCTTTTATAATAGCCATGCTAATAATGGCGTCGCCTGCCTCTCTCCTGACAGCAAGGGCGGGTGCCGCGGAGAATCGTACCTCTGGTTTGGTTAGTTGGTTACTTGGATTAGAGCCCTTTTAACCAGTAATGATCATTTCAGGGCTATGGGATGAAGGAAAATGGATAACGGTGAGGCAAGATTGCATGTGCCTGGAGGGGGAGGCAACCGTCGAGCTTTATTCTCACAGGGTTAAATGACGAATGATCACAGACGTCCCGGATCACAGATCACGGACGCCTCTGCGTCTGCGTCACCGGCGTATCTGCGGGGAGTGCGCTGGGCGTCCGGTCGGGGTCCCCATCCAGGGGCCCCTCGGCCCACTCGTGGCTGCTGATGCAACACAGCCTGTCCGGACAAGCGGGGCGTCACAAGGATGCAAGATAAAACAAGAAGTAGGAAAAAAAGGTCAGCAAGATCTGGTTTCCAGACGCGTAGTTTAACCACTGGACTAACGCTACCCTAGACTCACTCCTGTAAACTCAGCACTACCCGCATTCTCACAACAGCACAGTCATATTCAGCTAAATGCTCTACACAAACTGACTGAAATGGAGATCACCTTTTCTTGTAACGTCTATGACTCTACGACTTTATGCTCTACAACGTGCTGCGCAAACCGAACGCAGGTAATCGCGCCGGTACTCGCTGAACGTCGTCGACACGTGTGCCGGTGATGTTCTCTTGCATTCAGCGCTTGCGTCTGATCCGGCGTGGGTGCAGAGTGCAGTCACTGGCCTATCCGAACGGGAGGATGAGTGTGCCAGTGGTCATACGAGCGGTAATGGGTGTGAAGAATGCGAACATTTGTTCGCGCTGTGTTGTAGGATGAAATTTTAAAGTTACGTCTCGTTGATGATCCCGCGCGCAAAGGCGGCATCTGCCTTGGTGATGCGTTTGAACGGCTTCATATGAATGAAGTCGCTCCTTCGTACATGCAGCCGCATGGATTGATTTGAAAGGAAGCACCCACGTGGTGATGGCCTTATTGGTCGTTGGGTGCAGAGCACATATTGGATGATGGGTACTAATTGAAACTGGTTGATAGGCATCGTCGCTTGACCCACTTACCACTGGACGAAGAAGGTATCATTTTCGATTGCTCCATTCAGCTTTTTTGGGTCCAAGCAATGAACGAATGTAAATATGATGTGTTCAATTTGACCATTGGATTCGCAGCCAAATAAGGGCCTGTGCATTGGCTGATAAACCGACCATGTGACACTGTGATATGCTGTACATGCACGAATACATGTGTCATGTACCGTGAAGTGATGCTGCCCAGACTGAAAAGAAATACGCGCTTATGCCGAACATGCTCATTGAAGCAGCAACGGTCCGCCAACGATGTCAGCGCATGCAGCCGTGAATCCGGGAGCCCTCAGCTCGGCGCACGGCCACAAACAGCCTGGGGCGCAGAGAGCCAGTGCCCCAAGGACTCCTGATGCCGCTAAGACATTTTCACGCAAAATTTCCCCTCAAGTATCTTATGAAGCAACTATTATTCGAAAATTCAGCACCATTTTGCCTAGCCTGAGTTCAGCGCACGCGTGCTCCAGGATTAGCGCACCGAATTCACGCAAGCGTCCGGCGCAGCGGATGTTAGTTTGTTTTTTGAGACTGGCATGCTGCCGAACATTCGCGGGGTTACAGCCCCTTAAGATTGAAATTTGCGTTCGTTTGTTGCAGTTTGCATGGTATTATAGGTAAGATTTTCAGAAAAAAGTGACCACAACATGGAAAAAGAAATTAAAAGTGTTTGACAAAGCAGCGGAGCTGGGACGTACTTATTGTAAAAAGGTATTATTTCAACAAGCTTTTCATTGCATGGCAGCTTTCAGAAGAATAAAAAAGCCGACAGAAATGAGCAGCGTGAAGGTTAACTAACATGTGTCCGCTAGCTAGACAAATATTCACGTACTTGAGGTTCAATGAGCGTCTGGCCATAGCCGCTTAGGCTATGATACATGTGCAAGAAAAAACTACATAACTAAACAGGGCACTTATTCGCCATTCGACCACGTTCATCCCAGCCTATATCAGACGCTCTAGACCTAGTTATCGCACTCAATAAAACTCAATAATAGCCCTTCAAGGACCAGACGCCGCGCCGTACATGGCAACGCTGACAACCAGCGCCCAATCTGAGGCGTTTTTGTCACGGACGTTCGCAGCCTGAGACGTGTTTGTCGTCCGACCAGAGCACACAGGGCCCCTGGAGTGCCTAACAGGTGAAACTTATGAAAAGAACTCCAGCCATGAAGTAACAGTTCCAGCAGCTCTAGCAGTTCCAGTTTTGGATCAGTTGGGTACAAATTGAATATTTGATTTCGCTCTCTCGCTCTCTCACACCCCTGCTCTCTGGCTGTCTTGCTGTCCTTCTGTCTCGCTTTCTCTCTCTCTTGATCTCTCGCCCTCTCGCTCTCTCACTCTCTTACTCTCTCTGTAGACCGTATTTACGAGCAGCATTATTTTGTACTTCATCCACACATGGATTGCAATGCAGTTCTTGACAATGGCCCCTCATGCCAGCGCGCGCCCTTCGCCTGTTGGTATTTGACTGCCGCGACCAGCGACATATGGGACGCTGCTTCCTAGCCGTGAACCACCACGTCCGCAAGAATGGCCACACTAATGATCAGCCCAATAACGACGGTCCGCCCAGTGAACCACCAAGGACGCCTGATACGCACCGGATTACGAACAGTACCATGGCGGGAGGTCAGACACTGACATAACTAGATGGCTAGCCTGGACTTCGCATCTAAGGCTCTGCCTCATCACAATGGTGCATTCTGTCTTCAAGTTTGCTGCTGGGTGAGGGCCATTTGTTCAACTCCATTCGTGGCTGTCGCTCGGATTTTGAGATAAGTTGGTGTGGCACCAGCCACGTGGGTCTTTTTTAACATTTCACCGACGAAAACTACTGTTTCAGTAGCTGTGCCACATAAACCTTACTAAGCATTCTCCATATTGGACGTGAAAACAGATGGTGAGAGAGGGCCTTGTAGTGGAGTTTATCATTGGCCCTATGGTCGCGCGTAGGAAACAATCGTGATCGATAGTGTGTTTACCCCTCTTGAGACGCTCATACCAATGTACACCCAGGTGGCTTCACTTTGACTGAACGTTTTTTCTCGGTGCAGGCATGCTCCATGTTCCGGGGAGCTCAGTGCCCAGGCGATTTTCCCCCTGGTCTGAGTCAGCGTAACACATGAATGTTTACCTTCGCGTCAGCGGCGCTGCTGGTCAATGTGAGCTTCACCTCCATACCATGCACAAGCACCGCGAGCGCAGTTAATATATAAAGAATTTCGAGCCCCGTTACCACGCCCACACGCACGCACGCATGCACGCAGGCACATTTGGCCGCCAACTGCACTGTATTCAGTATCGAAAAGATCAAGCAGACCAAAGTCCTACGTGCGCGTACTAGTGCCGGCGGCTCATGTTCCAGCATACGCGGACACATCGACCGCGCCGTTCACCGCGACGCCCTCCCGTGCCGCGTGGGAGGGTCCAAGCGTGCGGCTTGTTTGAGTGACCTGGATAGATAATGCGCTGCGCCCCGTGTGTGACGAAAAGAAGTTAGTTGCCTGACGTTACAGGGAAGAAAAATGAACGGTGCAAATGTCGGGGAAACGGAAGCTAAGCGTCTACTATTATCAAATGAGCGCTTACGTGTCTTGCAGCGCCATTCATGTTCAGCATGGTCCACTAGAGGCGCACGGCGGCTTGACAATTCCAAAATAGGTTGATATATGGATAATCAGAATGCGTTCTGTTGAAATTAACAGTAAACTAATGGAGGAGTGTCAGAATTTGTGTCTCAAGAAGCAAACACCCAACCTAAACGTTCAAAAACGCGCCCCTCAAAGGCAACCCGTCCGCATCCACAACATCCCTTCGCTACGTTTACTCTCGTCTTCCCTGTCAGCGGTCGCCCCATAATGCTCACATTCTGTCGGGGCAGCTGCAGCGTCTGCAGGCGCGCCAGCAGGCCCCGGCTGGTCACGTGGCTGCCGTGGCGTACCGCCTCCACCAGCAGTGGGCGGACCTCTGGCGACCACCAGGGGTCGCGCGTCCACGGCGAGCCGGCCGACAGCAGCAGGTCTGCCGCTGCCGAGGGACCGGAGGTCAGCACAGCGGGGGGGGGGGGGACGAGATCGGAAGTCAGCACAGCGGGGGAGAACGGACCGCGCTGCTGAGGGACCGGAGGTCAGCACAGCGGGGGGACGAGATCGGAAGTCAGCACAGCGGGGGAGAACGGACCGCGCTGCTGAGGGACCGGAGGTCAGCACAGCGGGGGGACGAGATCGGAAGTCAGCACAGCGGGGGAGAACGGACCGCGCTGCCGACGAATCGGAGGTCAGCACAGCGGGGGAGAACGGACCGCGCTGCCGAGAGGCAGGAGATCAGCTCAGCGCGGGAGAACAGAAGGCGCTGCCGAGGGACCGGCGGTCTGCCCGGCGGGGGAGAACGGACCGCGCTGCCGAGGGGCCGGAGGTCAGCACAGCGGGGTGACCACAGGTCAGCTTAGCGGGAGAAACTGGACCGCGCTAGCCAAGGGACCAGTAATTAGCACAGCGGAGGAGAACGAGACCGGAGGTTAGCACAGAGGGGAGAACGGATCACGTGCTGGAGTCCACTAGGCAGTTGTATATCGACATTTTGTCGATTGGTAACAAGTTTTTAAATGCGGATGACGTGTTTCATCTTCTTCTTAAACTCGCAAAATGCTATAGCACTTGTTTGTTCGTTTTTGTTGCAGCATATGCCCTCTTCCCCACACCTATCGTCTGCCCTGAGCAGGTGGCACTCGGTAACACGAGCAGTCACCTTTGGCATCCCATTACCCACATTTACGTATCATTCTAGCTTTAATTGCTTACCTGCAGCGTGGGCACCAGATGCTCTTGGGCCATTCTGTTCAGGGCGATAAAGGAAACCAATTTCCGTTTGCAAAATTATTGCCAGTAAGATCCCTTCGTGATTGTGGAGCAATCGAAGTGACATCGCACGCAAATGTTATCGTCCCGTATATGGCACCAAAGCCTGATCTAAGGGAGCCGGTAACCTTTGCGAACCCAGCCAAATAGGCACTATTAATGGGAGCGTTGGTCTATCTCGAGATTACCAGGTATAGAGTTTCGCTTATGACTGGCTTCCGTGCATCAATTCACATGTGGCATCGCTTGAAAATCGGCTTTGTCGTGGGATCAGCTAGCCCTGGCAGTACAAGTCAGCCGACGAAATGGATCAACCTTTCCGGCGACTGTGGCCAAAGTGTGGTGAAAAATGCAATTTGGAGTTGGGACGTGGAGTTAGAGGTTGGCCGGGGTTAGCTTGGCTTTACAGCTGTGCAATTTTTCAGGGGAAAATGTCTAGGTTTAGGTCCAAGACTGTGATATTCAGAATAAAATCCAAAATCTACCCCGTTTCGATAGCCCACTTGGTTAGGGCGCCTGCCTTCTAATCCACCCATCTGAGACAGGCTGGGTTCGAGCCGATTTAGGTGCTCGCTATTTGCCCTTGACAGATATGGCCTGCAGCCGCTAGCAGCTGCCGCCGTAACGGTCAGTGATATGAGGCAGGACGGACCGTGCCGAACATTGGGTATTGGACGGACTTTGGCCACCAAATTCCGCCGTTGACCTGAAATATCACGATCAGATGGTAGGGATCAGGGTTCCCGCTAAAAACATTCTGCTTAGCTTGAATTATGATCTCAGAAATAAATTCATAGCAAAAGGTTTGAACGGAATCTTTAAAAAGGCAACATTAGCCATTCTCTGGTTGGTAGGGTTGGATGATGTCTCAGCGCTTTGTAACAGGTACATTGACCTTCATCATGCAGTCTTTATTCCCTACCTGTCTAAATCCCAAAATCTTGCACCGTTCCTAGAAATGTCCAGCGATCGGTTTATCAGCTTCACACTAAAGGTACCATGGCCAGTTACACACTTAGACTTTAATATTTGTCTACTGCTGATCATCTCTACTTGTCGCCGCCTGTTGAGAGGGGTGGGTCTCGCGTTGTTGCGACCCCGGATTGCCGATGCTATTGCAGCCCGTTTGAACTCATAGACCTCACCTGTTTTTTGAACAATGAATGAATTGTTTGCTTGCTATGTTTATTGGGTGGCAAAAGCTATACCATGTCATTTTGTTGCTCCAGAAGAACTACGCCTCATTAAACGTACTCCACGAAAGCACCTATAACTTATGACGGAACATATGTTAAAAACATTTTCAACTTTTTGTGCAAACGGCGTGGCCCCTACGTTCATTGCTACAAAGGTATAAGCCCATCTCAAGTGCGAATGGCCGGGCGGGCTGGGCCGCCGAATCCACAAAGCAGTTGATATGCAGACAGGCTCACAATGCGGTGTCACTCTTAAGGAAAATGTTACCAAATTTGTAGGTATTGAAGGGAACGTCACATGTTACGAAATAAGCTGACTTATAAGCATTTGCATGCTTTGAAATGAAAAAGACTGCCCTAGAGAACAAAATTTCTCTCTTTAGTGAATCTGCCCCCCAACACGTCATTGTTTCATTGCGCCATCGCACCTTGAACAACATTGATCAAGAGCCAATTGACCGTTATATCTGGAAACTGTGCCCACGAACGCCAAACATGAACGACTCAGCATTTATAGTTTTTGTCGTTGATTGATTTGTCGTTGACTGAAATTTTTGTCGTTGAATGACATGGTCAATGGAATGGCAGGATTTGATTTGTCGTGGCGCCATGAATGCGTGGGTGATCTTGCAACAGGCTGCACCAAATAGTCTGCAATTCTTCGCAAGCGCTCAGAAACTAAAGGAGCTTAGGTGTTAAGACGGATAAGGCATGGAACTGCGCCGAATGATCTTCGAGAAAGCTGTTACAGTTCAAAGCCCTATACAAATGTGCAACACTCCCTAATATTTATAAGGTGCAGTACAGCGGAAACGTGTGGCCACAGTTGTAAAAAATTGAGACAAACCGCATTTCACAAAACCGGCCCGCGGGTCACGGCATGGATGTTTTTAGCCTTGTTTACTTTCCGGTCTCGTCTTGCCCTGGTTTTCTTTCATGAGATACCCCTGAGACAGCAATTAACTCACAAACCGGCCAGTTTATTCTTGGTATTGTGCTTTCCAACGAATCTTATTAGCCTTGCTTCCATGACGGAATTGGATTACAGGTCGGCTTTCCCTCGGGAGGGCAGCCGGGATGACACGAGGCGCTTCCGTGGCGATGTACAGGAAATCCGGGACGCCTTTTACATTTCCGAATTCAGACTACTTTGAGGCATCTGTGATTTGTCACCAACGATGGCGATTTGTGACTCTTCTCATCAAGGCGTGAAAAAATGCATTCCGTGGTGGTCCGCCGTATAGGTTGAGTTGTGCAATGGCGGTGTTCTGCATGAGATTTGAGAACGTTATCGTGCCAATTCATTATGTTTTACCGGCAAACAGCCGACGGATAAGAGATCGAGCTTAACGGTAGCTACGCCATGAATCATGGGGCGGATGCTGCCTTTTGAGTCGCTTTGCTCTTCACTCTGTTGGTGGCGGCGAACTTTGCAGTGTGCTAACAGAATTCGGTTCGAAACGTTCTGACCGTGCGGCTGGTGGGAGACAACTGACAAAACCATTTTGCCATGCTGAAGGACAAGGCAGACGGTGTTGCTGGTGGAGCTGTTAATAGCCTCTTCGAAAACCATTCCATGTGCCTTGAGGTACGGCTTGCAATGTGTCTGTATGAGCTGGGCAGTTGTAGCGAACACAGGGTAGCAGGCTCAGGGAAACTACTCTATGCTGTGCAAGTTTTGCCGTACCACAGCCCAGCACTGCAAACTGGCTTATTCAGGCAATATCTAGCTGGATCTGCCACAAATTTGGTAAATACTTGTTCTTTTTAGGACAGTACCCAGGTGGTCAAAGCCCGCAAAAACTGTTGCCGGCATTCTCACCATGGTGTTCAGAATAGCAACAATACCGCCTGCACATGCTGAGCCCTGAAACAGTCCGCATTCGTCTACAGCCGATAAAGGACGGGCCGTCGGGACCCAAACAACGCGATCCCTGACCCTGCCACATGCTTTCAATGCACAGGAAATCCGGATATCCAAGTGTCATTAAAATAGAGTAATCAGGCTGAGATTGTTCCGGGCTGTGTGGGCGCTACGGCTTTTCAGCTGCGGACAAGACTTCCTTTGGCCCCCTGAGCAAAGCGGACCCTCCTTACACGGAGGTGGGGCCTCTTGGGCAGTGCCGTGTTTAAGAGAAAGTGTCTCGAATTCGCCTTTTGATAACCAGCTTTGCTCTGTTCTGTCAAACTGCGGGAGTCAGCACACTTTCACTCTGCACACCTCGCCTCTCTCTCTCTCTCTCTCTCTA